AGTCCTCTCCTGCTGATGTTCAGGTGTATATCAGTATGTAGTGTCTCTACTTTAAAGAGTCCTCTCCTGCTGATGTTCAGGTGTATATCAGTATGTAGTGTCTCTACTTTAAAGAGTCCTCTCCTGCTGATGTTCAGGTGTATATCAGTATGTAGTGTCTCTACTTTAAAGAGTCCTCTCCTGCTGATGTTCAGGTGTATATCAGTATGTAGTGTCTCTACTTTAAAGAGTCCTCTCCTGCTGATGTTCAGGTGTATATCAGTATGTAGTGTCTCTACTTTAAAGAGTCCTCTCCTCCTGATGTTCAGGTGTATATCAGTATGTAGTGTCTCTACTTTAAAGAGTCCTCTCCTGCTGATGTTCAGGTGTATATCAGTATGTAGTGTCTCTACTTTAAAGAGTCCTCTCCTGCTGATGTTCAGGTGTATATCAGTATGTAGTGTCTCTACTTTAAAGAGTCCTCTCCTGCTGATGTTCAGGTGTATATCAGTATGTAGTGCCTCTACTTTAAAGAGTCCTCTCCTGCTGATGTGCAGGTGTATATCAGTATGTAGTGTCTCTACTTTAAAGAGTCCTCTCCTGCTGATGTGCAGGTGTATATCAGTATGTAGTGTCTCTACTTTAAAGAGTCCTCTCCTGCTGATGTTCAGGTGTATATCAGTATGTAGTGTCTCTACTTTAAAGAGTCCTCTCCTGCTGATGTTCAGGTGTATATCAGTATGTAGTGTCTCTACTTTAAAGAGTCCTCTCCTGCTGATGTCCAGGTGTATATCAGTATGTAGTGTCTCTACTTTAAAGAGTCCTCTCCTGCTGATGTTCAGGTGTATATCAGTATGTAGTGTCTCTACTTTAAAGAGTCCTCTCCTGCCGATGTTCAGGTGTATATCAGTATGTAGTGTCTCTACTTTAAAGAGTCCTCTCCTGCTGATGTTCAGGTGTATATCAGTATGTAGTGTCTCTACTTTAAAGAGTCCTCTCCTGCTGATGTTCAGGTGTATATCAGTATGTAGTGTCTCTACTTTAAAGAGTCCTCTCCTGCCGATGTTCAGGTGTATATCAGTATGTAGTGTCTCTACTTTAAAGAGTCCTCTCCTGCTGATGTTCAGGTGTATATCAGTATGTAGTGTCTCTACTTTAAAGAGTCCTCTCCTGCCGATGTTCAGGTGTATATCAGTATGTAGTGTCTCTACTTTAAAGAGTCCTCTCCTGCTGATGTTCAGGTGTATATCAGTATGTAGTGTCTCTACTTTAAAGAGTCCTCTCCTGCTGATGTTCAGGTGTATATCAGTATGTAGTGTCTCTACTTTAATGAGTCCTCTCCTGCTGATGTTCAGGTGTATATCAGTATGTAGTGTCTCTACTTTAAAGAGTCCTCTCCTGCTGATGTTCAGGTGTATATCAGTATGTAGTGTCTCTACTTTAAAGAGTCCTCTCCTGCTGATGTTCAGGTGTATATCAGTATGTAGTGTCTCTACTTTAAAGAGTCCTCTCCTGCTGATGTTCAGGTGTATATCAGTATGTAGTGTCTCTACTTTAAAGAGTCCTCTCCTGCTGATGTTCAGGTGTATATCAGTATGTAGTGTCTCTACTTTAAAGAGTCCTCTCCTGCCTATTGTTCAGGTGTATATCAGTATGTAGTGTCTCTACTTAAAGAGTCCTCTCCTGCTGATGTTCAGGTGTATATCAGTATGTAGTGTCTCTACTTTAAAGAGTCCTCTCCTGCTGATGTTCAGGTGTATATCAGTATGTAGTGTCTCTACTTTAAAGAGTCCTCTCCTGCTGATGTTCAGGTGTATATCAGTATGTAGTGTCTCTACTTTAAAGAGTCCTCTCCTGCTGATGTTCAGGTGTATATCAGTATGTAGTGTCTCTACTTTAAAGAGTCCTCTCCTGCTGATGTTCAGGTGTATATCAGTATGTAGTGTCTCTACTTTAAAGAGTCCTCTCCTGCTGATGTTCAGGTTCATATCAGTATGTAGTGTCTCTACTTTAAAGAGTCCTCTCCTGCTGATGTTCAGGTGTATATCATTATGTAGTGTCTCTACTTTAAAGAGTTCTCTCCTGCTGATGTTCAGGTGTATATCAGTATGTAGTGTCTCTACTTTAAAGAGTCCTCTCCTCCTGATGTTCAGGTGTATATCAGTATGTAGCGTCTCTACTTTAAAGGTCTCTATAGATTAGCCTACTTATAGATGTATTTTCTTTGATGCAAGTTCATCAACCCTTCTTAAGCTGTAAAAGTGGCCTTAGCTTTACTGAGAAACTAAATAATCATGTCGGGAATTCGTCCTGCTGGTCTTTATTTCGTCGCTTACTCATAAGTCTGATATTAGAAAGATATGAGAGCAACATATCCCAAAATAAAGCCCATAAAAACTGGCCATGAAAGCATTTATTTATACACTCCTGTGTTATTTACCTGAATATGACAAAATATGTTGTAGGACAGGGGTTCCCAACCTTTTTACCCAAGAGCCCCCCCAAATTACTCCTGTTGGAAGTTGTGCCCCCCCCCCCCCACACACACACACACACACACCCACACACACACACACACACACACACACACACAACAGGCAACAGCGGTAATTCAAGTTTAAAAGTCTCAAAAAAGCTACAACTACTGTCACAAACTGGATGAATGTGAAGTATTTTGTTAAAGGAGGATGAAAGCGTAATTGAGGAGCACTATTGGAGTGACTTTGATGGTTATTGGACTCAGGATTCATTCATTTGGATTCCCGCTGTATGAAGAAATTAAAGGACGGCACGGAAGTGGAAACAATTCACAAAGGGATTAAACTGTTTAAAACACATGCTCAAAGTAAGCCGGATTTTGCCGATGTGTTTATGTGGATTCAAAAGTCGTAAATAATCTACAAAATGGAGGAGACAGATCTGATCGGAGCAACTGTGACGAATAATCCAACTGAAACCGGCATGGACAATGTCTATGTTTTAAAAATGCGCTTATCCAGACAAGCCCGGTTTGGACACTTTACGGGCAGAAGAAACATTTCTATTAAAGAAAGAATTATACATTTCTGTCTTTTTATGCCTTTAATACTAACTTGAATTGTTATTCAAATTAATTAACCAATTATTTTTTATATTTTATTGTAATGTAGAGACAAGGCTTTTAGTGACAATCATGTATTGCTTTACAATTATATGTAAAAAAAAAAGTCTAAATATGATATTTGGCCTCAAATCATCTGAGGCCTGGCGCCCCCCCTGCGATCTTTGCCCCCCATGTTGGGAACCACTGTTGTAGGGGACATGTACTTGCTTTGTAGCATGCAATGGTCTGCAGCCAAACCCTAAAAAAAGTTACACATATATTGACTGCAGATCTAAATATGACGCATCAGTGTTGACGTGCTATTCCCCCACATAGAGTGACCTATTTCCGACACCTGGCATGTTTTATTTGATGCAAGTTCATCAGTTCTTATTAAGCTGCAACTAGGGAAGCCAAAACGTATTAAGAACTGAAACGAATATGCTAGGTGATGGATTTGGTCCACGTGCCTTTAGTTTTAGACTTGTGCACTTTTCTGAACGATGATACGGAAGTAAAAAAACACCATTGCATGAAATAAATAATGTTTTTTATTTATACTATATTGCTTTTCAATGCAGATATGAATGCCTACAGAAGAGGGTTAGGGCCACATTTTGTTTTGAATTTTTTTTTTTATTCTGTGATTAATCTCGGAATTCTGACTTCTTTCTCAAAATACTGATAAAATCTAAGAAATTAAATGTTTAATTCTCTAAATTAAGATTTTTTTTCTCAGAATTCCCACAATTTTATCTCAAAATTCTGATTTCTTTCTCGATATTCTGCCATTTTATTTCTCAAATTTCCCAAAACGTATTAAGAACTGAAACGAATATGCTAGGTGATGGATTTGGTCCACGTGCCTTTAGTTTTAGACTTGTAGACTTTTCTGAACGATGATATGGAAGTAAAAAACACCATTGCATGAAATAAATAATGTATTTTTTGACATCTTAAAGACGAGAGTATCTCAGAATCAGAATCAGGTTTATCACCAGGTAGGTTGACACGTACGAGGAATTGGACTTGATGTCATGGTGCAAGTAAAACAAAGATTAAAAACACAGATAGAGAATTAGAAAAATATTAAAAAATGTATAGTAAATACAACATATTATAACAGTATGTACATAGAAATGGAATGGAATAAAATATGGAATAAAAATCTGCTTTAATAAAAAAAGAGAACAGATGTTGTACATTGTGTGCATTAGTTTTCATTAAGCTGCAACTAGGGAAGCCAAAACACATTATGAACTCAAACGAATATGCTACGAGATTCGATCCTTAGTTTGAAACACGTGCACTTTTCTGAAAAATGGAAGTAAAAAAAACGGTAACACTTTATATTAAGGTACACAAATCAACTAGTTGTTAATTAACATGCATATTAGCAGTATATTGGCTCTTTATTAGTCATTATAAAACACTTATTAATGCTTTATTCTACATGACCGTATTCTACAAGTAATAATCCATTAGTTGAGAGTTTTTCCTCAATAACCCTCTAATTAGTGCTGATTCATTGCAAGTAAGGAAGTTGTTGTACATGAGCTTTGGTCTTAATATGCGCTGCTCAATATGGGCCTAATAAGGCAGCAGTACCACAAGAATAGTAATTCTCCCACAATAACACTCAACAAATCTAGTTTATTCTTATGTAACAAGAAGTGAAATTAAAGTGTTAATAGTGTCAAAATAACTCAAAATGTGGTGTTTCTAACTCAGAACATGTTCCCTATTTTAAAGTGAAGTCTTGTTCATCACAAATAAGCTAGTAGTTTGACTCTAATGTGTTAATTAACTATTTGATGGTGAATATGTGTAGCTTAATATATAGTGTTACCAAAAAGACACTATTGCATGAAATGATTAATGTATTTTTTGAGATGTGAAAGACGGGAGTGTCTCCTCAGTAACGCTGATGTGTGTTCAGGGCGGAGGAGGTGGACGCCATCGTGCTGAACCTGGAGAAAGCCAACCAGGTGAGTGCAGCTGATTGAGTCGCTCCTTCGTTAAGATAATCACTCCTGTAATCAAGCCTTTCATTAGACCCCCCCCCCCAACCTCCCACTTCCTACCTCCCCTCCCCCCAGTGAGTGATTAGAGAGTAAACCTGAGCCCAGATTCCTCGCCGCCTTGATTGCTTCCTTTCCTCCAGTGATGGATTCAAGATGCAAGGCTTTTATGGTCATGTGTACAGAGCTACAGTGTAGATATGTCAATGGACACCTTAGGCTCCTCCAACAGTGCAACAACAATAACACAGATCAAATAGTGCAAGTAAATACAATAAAATAGAATATAGTAGTCGATATACAAGTTATTGGAATATTGATATATATAAGTTGCAAACAGGTGAATGTTATGGATGTTCTGGATAGTAACAAAGTACATTTACTCAAGAACACTTCAGTACAATTTAAGGTATTTGTACTTAAGTATTCTCACTTTACTCTACTTAATACTCTTTTTATTGTCGTTTTTGTAAACATACATACAACATACACCCGCATACGTACTGAAATGTGTGCAGAATAGTTACTGCGCATATAACAAACAATCTCACCTTAATCTTGTAGAAAGATATCCATGTATATCTCAGCTTACATGCCAATTACTTAAATAAAAGCTCAGAGAGAGAATAATAAGAATAATAACTTATAATCATAATGGCCTGAGGTGTGGCGTCTGTACAATGAGAAACATCGAATAGGAGGGAAAGAAAAATATATATCGTAATAATAATAACAAATAGAAAGGGGGGGGGTGCCATATACATTGCTGTCTCTTATTATTTTCTCTTTTACTCTCCTTTCCTCCCTGGCGCTCTCTCTGCCGGCAGCTCCTAGATAAATGTTCTCAAAATGAATCATTAATTAGCGGGGGGGGTGTGTGTGTGTGACAGAGCAGGTAAACAGTGTGGAGAATACAGAGGGGCAGAATAAACCCCACTCAGGGTCTGAAAATCTCAGAGCAAGGGCGTCTCCCTTTGATTTATGCTCTCACCTTGATCCTCTCATTAGCCAACTGATGCTGTACGAGACGCTGTGATCCAACGTGTGTGTGTGTGTGTGTGTGTGTGTGTGTGTGTGTGTGTGTGTGTGGGTGTGTGTGTGTGTGTGTGTGTGTGTGTGTGTGTGTGTGTGAGTGTGTGTGTGTGTGTGTGTGTATGTGTATGTGTGTGTGTGTGTGTGGTGGTGTGTGTGTTGTGTGTGTGTGTGTGTGTGTGTGTGTGTGTGTGTCTGTGTGTGTGTGTGCTGTGTGTGTGTGTGTGTGTGGTGTGTGTGTGTGTGTGTGTGTGTGTGTGTGTGTGTGTGTGTGTGGTGTGTGTGTGTGTGTGTGTGTGTGTAGAGAGCAGAGAAGGCCCAGAGGGAGGTGGAGAGGCTAAAGGAGCAGATATCCTCGGCGGGGAGGGGTCGTCCAGCAGAGGGCAGCAGCAGGGTGAGAGTCATGTGACCTGTGAGCAGGAAATGAGTACTTTTACTCAAGAACTGCACTTCAGTATTTAAGATAAAATAATCCTTGAAGTCTTGAATTGAAGCAACAAGAGGTACTGAGAAGAAAACCCGTGATATAATATATTGCTTTTCTTCGCAGACATTCCTCCAGGCGAGGTCAGGGCCACATTTAGTTTGAATATTGTTTTATTCTGTGATTAATCTCAGAATTCTGACTTGTTTTTCAAAATACTGATTAAATCTAAGAATTCAAATTTGTAATTCTCTAAATTCTGCCCATATTTTCTCGGAATTCTGACATTGTTTGCAAATGTAATTCTAACTATGATCATGCAGTGCTATAGAGCTACTGCATCACAGACTCTGGGGACATCGAGGCGCTGCAGAGACATACATGCAGTTTCAACCTTTAGTCACATCCTCTGTGATTTACAAACCTTCCCTCCTTTCCTCCCTCCTTTCCTCCTCCCCCTGTCTCCTCCCTCCTTTCCTCCCTCCTCCCCCCTCTCCCTCCTGTCCTCCCTTCCTCCCCCCTCCCCCCCTCTCTCAGGGTGATCAGGGTGACTCTCCCTCCCAGCTGGAGGCCTCTCTGCTGGTCAAAGACCGAGAGATGCTGCGTCTGCTGGAGAACATCCAGCGGCTGCAGTTCACTCTGCAGGAGGTGCAGGAGAGCTCGGCCAATCAGATGCTAGAGCTGGAGCGCCAGCTGGCCTATAAGACGGAAGCTATCGAGGTGAGCGGGGACCAATGGGGAAGAAGGGTTTGAAGTTAAAGTAGCAATACTAAATAGGAAAGATCGTCTAGAATTCAGACTTTCATTTCAGAGAATTCTGACTTTTTTCTCTGAACTCCGACAAAGTATGTATTTGATGTTTTACAAATCAAAAACATACTTTAAATATGTAAGTAAAAGTACAAAAGTATTGGCATATAAATACACTCAAAGTACCAAAAGTACTTGTTATGCATTGCATGTGTGATGTATTGAAGTACATTTACTCAAGTACTACTTATGTACACTGTTGACGTGTTTTAATGTCTTGCTACTGTATTCTCCTAATCCTACATTTATCTGACAGCTTTAGTTACGTTAGTTATTAGCTCATGTAAATCAACTAATACATAAACATTGGCTTATGATTAGTTCATCCAGCAGCAGAATGTAAAGTGGTTCAAATGAGCCAGCTGTGATGAACGCCTTCATGCATCAATGATACTGTAGTAATCATTTACTATATAATATATATAATGCAGGACTTTTACTTGTAACAGAATAAGTAAATCAAATATCCTCCATCGCTGAAAACAGTTAATTCAATGAAATATATACAATGTAGTAGAAGTTACTCAGATAAAGTACCTCAAAGTTGGACTTAAATACAGACTATTTTTCATTTAAACTTTCTTTTCCGTTTCAGAGATTAGAAGCTAAACTGCAATCCCAGATGGATTATGAAGAGATTAAAACTGAACTCAGGTGAGTCTTTCAGTCTGAAAGGTTTGACACTAATTAAATATATGTTCATTATTCAACCATGCGTTACTCTATGCTGTTTATTATTATTCAGCTGTGTCAGATTCACAGCACTTGCTTTATTTCACTTCACACAAACTGGTTTTAAGCATTAACATTATTATTATTAAACTACTGTATATATTGTAATAAACATGTATTATTGTTACAGTATATCTTGAAGTAACTTTATTTAAATATTTGTATTTAATTGTTTTCATTTATTCATAAATTAATTCCAGTTTTTTAATTGCATTTGTTTTTTAAATAGCGACTGTCACAGAATCATCAATCTGGATAAAGTGTTTCTGTTCTTCTGATTTCTGTCCACAGCATCCTCAAGGTGATGACGCTGGCTTCAGCGAACGGCAGCTCGTCCCAGGTACTGAACACCTGCAACATTATA